TAGAATGGAACATATATTGAGGAGATATATATACACACACAGCTGTGTGTATATATATCTCCTCAATATATGTTCCATTCTATATGCATCCGAAGAAGTGGGCTGTAGTCCACAAAAGCTTATGCTCTAATAAATTTGTTAGTCTCTAAGGTGCCACAAGTCCTCCTGTTCTTCTTTTTACTTAAGATTGATTAATCAATGTAGACTGAAAGCCAAGTTCCCTATACACTTAAGTTAGCAGTGCTAAGAGAATTTATGAAAACAGATTAAACAGGGGAAAAAATAATAATTTGTTTAAAAGGTCATGATTTGGGATTGATAGAACAAACAGCAAGGTTCTCCCTATAGATATGGAAGCATGTCCAATCAACAAAAACAGGGATTTAAATAAAAACAAAAACAAAAACCTAAAGCATTCGTCCTCTTTATGCAAACTCAAATCACCTCACTCTGAATGAATTAATAAAAACATAGGTAAATATGGTATGATGTTAATGGGGATAGAAGAATTTAAGAATTTTTTTTTATAGTAATGTTAGAAATAAAGTCATTTGAATGCATTCTGATCACAGAGTAATGTATAGCCACTCTGTTTTGAGACACTCAGACATTGGGATCTTCTTGTCAAAACAATGCACAGTGCCACAATATGAGTAATGACTCAGGGCCCAATGCTTCCTCCTTTTGGGATATGATGAGCAACTCTTTTACATACCTACATACATTGGAAATTATTTGTATCTTCTGGGTAGAATCAGGCTCAGCATATTTATCATTAACTGGATGGAAGTATGAAGTCAGGCTGAATATAAGTTATGACAGTCTAAGGCTGGGTCTACACTACCTGCCTGAATCGGCGGGTAGAAATCGACCTCTCGGGGATCGATTTATCATGTCCCGTCGGGACGCGACAATCGATCCCCGAATCGACGCTCTTACTCCACCAGCGGAGGTGGGAGTAAGCGCCGTCGACGGGAAGCCGCAGAGGTCGATTTTGCCGCCGTCCCTACAGCGGGGTAAGTCGGCTGCGATACGTCGAATTCAGCTATGCTATTCGCGTAGCTGAATTTGCGTATCTTAAATCGACCCCCCCCCCTGTAGTGTAGATGTAGCCTAAGTGGGCAAGACCTGATGATGTGGTATAAGAGCAGAACTAAGTATCTCATTCTGATACCCTAAAGCCACTGTGTGTGTAACCCTGATTTGTTAATTAGGCTCCAAATGCTGCCCCAGCACTTAACCTGAGTAATTTCTCAGGGCATGGAGATCTCCACAGGGACGAGGGGAGGAATTTCTTCCCCTCATAGAATCCTCTCTACGTACTAAAGGCTTGAGCAGGCATGTGACCCCCTTCACAGGGGGAGAAGAATGAGAGGAACCACACAGTGGCAAACCCTCTATTCCCAAAAGACTTGCTATACAGGGCACTGGCAGAGCCCTGAGCTGGAGTCCACACCCACCCTTGTACCCTGGGGGCTCACAATATCTTTCTCCTCCCCTCTGCAGCACAATCACAGTAGTTCTACTGTCAGGGCCCCTCTTCACCTAAAGAGGGGGCAAGATTTAGGACCAAAATCAATATTTTGGATGTACTGGTTATTGCTGTGTTGTAGATGATATACTCTTAGCACCTATTCATTCTTATTTGTTATCCACATATTATTTTCTCTGGGATTCTTCGTAATTTCTGGGATTGGGTTGTTTCTCCAGATGCTGAAGGATTCTGTTACCACTGATCTTGCTGTTCATGGATTCAGTCCTTAATGTACCCCATTTAAGATAAAGAACTTAGAATATTGAGTTAAGCTGAATAAAAATTTCTCCCTCTTCTCACCACTACCCCTGTTTTGATTTTTTTCCCTTTGCCATTGTGAGCTAGAGGTCTTTCCTACTACTTCAGACTATGAAATCATAAGCCCTCCCCATTTGATTGGAATTTATATTTCCATGCCCTTGAACATGGCTAAATTAATTCTGACAAGTTGTAAAAAGAAGCCTCTGTGTTCAAACCAGAGAAGATTATCCATTTTCTATAGATCACCATTAAAACCAGTGTTTTACTCACAGATATTTTCTCAGCTACGTAGTTGCCCCTATTCTCTAATTTATCTTCACTGGCATAAAAGGTGAATGTCTGTAAAACATTTGATCCAGCTCTGAGGAATTCCCGATGAAGTTGACGAACTGCAAGGTATTAAAAAAAGGGCAAAAAAGTTTGATATGGTTATTACCATTTTAGCATCTGTTTGCACAGTTACATGTTTATTGGTTAGGTTATGTTAGGTTAGAAAAGGTTCTGAATTAATGGTATTGTAAAAAAGACATCTTCTACTTAGTTTTGTAGCAAGTATAGCATCTGCAGCAAACACTGCCACCTTCTCTGTTGATTTACCTCCTAACCTGGAGGAACAATTTATAGGGGGAAGCAGACAATTCAGCTTCCTTAGCCAGTCAAACATGCTGAGACTGTCAGTCTCCACTGCAGATCAACATCACCTTACTGATCTGTCTAATCAACCATGGAGGACCTTTTACCCTACAGTTACCCTGCCAGTAAGCTCACTCACTGAATCTTTGGCACCTTGCCTATCTTTTGCCGTAGTCTGTTCTGCAGACCTCTCAAGCTGTAGCCCCGGAATTGACATTCCTGAACATACCCCAGAACTTGACAGCACTACAATCAGCCATTTTATATGTTCAACCACTGCCAGCTCAAACCCAAACATCACATAGCTAGAAATAGTTTTAGGGCCCTGAGAGGCAAAGCCATGCAGCTGCATGTTTGCAGTTTTGCTATCAAAATGAGAGGTTGGGACAGGAAGTTAAGGTTCCCTGAAAATAGAAGGAATATTTGGACAACCAACCTCAGTTTTAGGTACCTTTGACATGTAAGTTTTATTGTTCTCATTAGAAATATTTTTCTGATAAGGAAATATGAATTGTTATTGGCTGTTTCTAGGGAAACTGTTAGCCTACCAGGGAGTATTATGAGGTATGTGCTTTGTCAGGAGAAAATTTATAAAAAGTGTAGTTAGAAAGTGTACTTTGGAGCAGTCTGAGGAAGATTTCTTTGGGCAAAGATATGATAACTAAGTTCCCCAGCAGCTAGACAGAAGGAGGGGGCCCCAGAAACCTGGCTGTTGATTCCTCAAAGCCATCTTAACTTTGGTAAATATAAAGTTTAAAGATGCTCTGAACCTACTGTGACAGGATGCTCTAATAAAAAAGTAGTTTTAGGTAAAAGCACTCTGATTTGTATCACATATCAGACAGAGGAACTGTCTCTCCACTGATTTATTCCTGACACCACCTGGAGAGAAACAGTTAAGTTACCATTGCTTTGGGTTCTGAAAACCCGGGCTAACAAAGTGTCACTTAGTAGGATTGCTTTAAGGTCGTAAAGTGAAAGGGGAAAGGAAAGCAGATGTTAGCAAAAGGAAGAGGAAGTATGGAAAGAGATCAGACTAAGGGCATGTCTGCACTTATGGCAGCAGTGCTGATTTAGCCATCGATACAGTGGTGTCAATTTAGCAGGTCTGGTGAAGACACACCAAGTCGATGGCAGAGCACCCTCCCATCGACTTCTGTACTCCACCTCTTTGAGAAGCATAAGGCAAGTCAGCGGGAGAGCGTCTCCCATCGACACAGTGGAGTTTAGACAGCACTGTATGTTGACCTAAGTAACATAACTTAGATCGACTTACAGCTTTAGTGTAGACCAACCCTTAGATCAGTGTGAGAAAAGGAACACAGCAACTGCCCAGGAAATTAGTCAACAGTGAAGATAAGGGATCTGCTCTAGCCTGTGAAAAAAGAAAATAGTAATTGTGGCACTGTGGCCACTTACTGCTGCCTGCATGCCCCTTTTTTCTCTTTCACAGGGCTCCTTAAACTCCACACAGCTCAAAGGAAAATTACAATATTCTCCATCTGGGGTCCAATTTATTCAGTCCCCAGGTACATACTGGCACTCCAGGCCCCAATCCCAGTTTAGTGTCTCTTTCCTTAGTTGTGGGGTTCCCAGCCCTCTTTCCCAGAGCTGGGTCAAAGTTCAATGTCTCTGCAGGAACCAGGCTTGCTCCCTACAGTGGCTTCTTCAAGCCAACTACAGCATCTCCCAGCTAACCTCCAGGCTTCCTGCCTGAAACAGCCTCTACCACTCTCCCAACCACCCTTTCTCTGCAGCTTCCTGCTGGCTTTTATATCAGAATCACTTGATTCCTCTCAGGTGGGGCTCATCTTGTAATCAGGGCTGGCTTAGCCCCAAGCTCTCCAGCACACAGGCAAGCCAGCCTGTCACAGGAATAACTATCAATCTTGGAAATTAAAGGGCACAAAAGCAATATTTTATGTGAAAATGTTAGTGCACTGCCAAGCTCCCTCCTCCAGAGGTGAAAGTAAGCCGGTACGCCCTGGTACAGCATACCGGCAAGAGCCGGTGCGTCGTACCAGGGCTGCCCAGCTTCCCCAGGTGGCAATTTAAAGGGCCTGGGGCTCCCAGCAGCGGCTGGAGCCCCAGGCCCTTTAAATTGCCACCAGAGCCCTGCTGCTGGAGCCCTGGGATAGCAGCAGTGGGGCTCCGGGGCTATTTAAAGGGCCAGGGCTCCCGCTGCCTCTACTGCCCTGCCATGCCCGCTCAGGCAGGCTCCAGCAGCTATTTAGAGGGCCCGGGGCTGTAGAGGCAGGAGAGCCCCAGACCCTTTAAATAGCCCCCAGAGCCCCGCTGCCGGAGTCCTGGGGTAGCAGCGGCAGCTGGGGTTCCGGTAGTGGTTTAAAGGGCCCGGGGTGGTAGCGGCAGCCAAGCCCTGGGCCCTTTAAACTGCTGCCAGAGCCCCCAGCTACCTTGGCGGGGGCACTTACCAGTACAGGGCGGGCCGGGGCTGGCTCTGACCCCCCCATCCCCGCCCCTTCCATCCGAGGCCCTGCCCCTTCCGGGGGCCAGAGCCGGCCCCGACCCAGCCCCGTACCGGTAAGTCCCTATTTCTACTTTCACCCCTGCCCTCCTCTTACGGCCAGCATTTGCTATTCCCTCTTTTCTACTCAAACTTAATACTATTTATTATTTGTACGGTGGTAGCACCTAGAAACTCCAACCAAGACCAAGGGCCCATTTTACTGGGCATTGTACATATATAATGAAAAGAAGGTACTTGCCCCCAAAGAACTTGCAATCCTAACACAAATGTCACTTGTCCCATAAAGTTAAATGTAATGCTTTGGTTGGGCCCAATCCTGTACTTTTGGAGGCAAAACTTCCAGTGATTTTAGTAGGAATTTTACCTATGAGATCAGGTCCATTAGAAGTAATCAGTGATCAGTTTGTATATAGAATGCTGCAGTTGTCACAGTAGGTGAACAGGGATTAACAATTTATTTTATACACAGTCCACTAAAAAGAAACCAGACAGATGGTAATTTCTTTTGGAAGACGACCCCCTAGGCAGATATGAAATAGTAAGACAGAAGTGTAAGCCCCTGTATCCCATAGCCAAAGCTCAGCCACACTGTCCCTTGGACTTTTATAAAGGCGTATGGTAATATGATATAAAAATGTCTATTTCCAAGGCCGATGTTTGGAGAGGTTTTAAAAAAAGCCTTTGATACCATATCACACTGCTGACAGACAACCTGATTCATTAGCCAACTCTGTGGATGCAATATGAGGACTAGAAAACACAGTCTTCAAGAAATGGAGATATCCCATCTCCTAGAACTGGAAGGGACCTTGAAAGGTCATCGAGTCCAGCCCCCTGCCTTTACTAGCAGGACCAAGTACTGATTTTGTCCCAGATCCCCAAGTGGCCCCCTCAAGGATTGAACTCACAACCCTGGGTTTAGCAGGCCAATGCTCAAACCACTGAGCTATCCCTCCCTTCCCCAAATACAGGCTTCCAACCCAGATCTAGCTCAAACGTATTCACTAGAAAGCAACAGAGGGTCCTGTGGCACCTTTGAGACTAACAGAAGTATTGGGAGCATAAGCTTTCATGGGTAAGAACCTCACTTCTTCAGATGTAGTCACTAGAGTTACTCCTAGGGGAACTCTGTACCACTGCACATCTACAGAATTTATGCCTCCGCAGATTTCTTTGCTTCCCCACAGAAAAATGACTTTCTGCTGGGGAGGGTCGCATGACCGCTCTTGTGGCTTCCCCATCAGAATGTTTTGGGTGCCCAGGGCAGCCGACAGAGAGGTAAATCACTGTGGGGCTGGGGAAGACCTGGCTGGTGGCTTCTACCCTGCACCAGGCTCAGCTGCTAGTCCAGGCTGGACTGGGGAGGATGGGACTTCCTCTTCCCTTGCATGGCATCCAGGACCGGGTCAGATACACTCCCAGATTTCTTCCCCAGCTGCAGGAAGCTCTGCAAACTCCTCTCCTGGCTTCCATCACTCCTCAGCTGCAGGGGGAGGGATCATTGTACAGAGAGCTGCTCCCCCATCCGCCCAAGCCCCATGCATCTAGATGCCATCATATCCAGCCTACCCGCCAAGGCTTCCCCCCCGCACACACACACTCAGAACCCACCTTGATGAGCCCCACTCCCCCGGACCACCCCGGACCACCCCCCACATCCCCATCTCACCAAGCCCCAACCAGCTGCACCTGAACCCCTACCCTACTGAGCCCCACTGCCCCAGAATGTGCTCTCCAATGCCATGCTGGAGCCTCCACGTTTCTTTGACAAATAACATTTGCAGAATTTTAAAATATTGTGGGCAGGATTTTTTTTTTTTTTTACCTTTCAGGAGTATAATGTGTATCTATATACATGGGCAAGTTTGATTCCACTCAGTAGAGGGCAGTGCTGAGCACACAAACCAGACCATTCTTATCCTGCACTCACACTCTGGAATAACCCAGGAGGCTGCTCTAACAGAACACTGCTTATACCAGCTATTACACAAGAACCAGTCAGGAACATAGCTTATTGCTCAACTTCAGAGTTCTTAAAGTTCTTCGAATCCTGCATCAAGTAGCAGTATCAAGTTTCAATCTCACATCCTTTGAACAGAGACAGTCAAAACACTCCAGGTGTGAGCAGCATTTATTTTTAATTATAATTTAAAAAAATAGGTCATTCACTCCAAACAAAGGGCCACTTCAGAATACTTCTAGGATCCACTAGTTTGTTTTTCTATCAGCCACTTTCCATAAAGGGTCATTGGTACAGCTGGTCAGAAAATTGAAAATGCTTTTTACAATTTTCACAGTCCTTATGGATCCTGTTTCTGCTGTGTGACACTACTGCACACCCTCTTCTAGTGCAGTAATACTCATCATTGAAGTATGCTGGTGCCTGTGCTACAGGGTAAAATAAGTGCTGTTCTCTTGTGAGCCGATGGAAATCTTACCCTACACTAAAACAGTTAAAACATGTTCAAGACTCACACCCTTCTGAGGGTGTGTGTGCGCGCACACACATGCGTTAATTTTATTAAAAAAGTATCACAAGAATCCAGCCACCCGTCTCTGGGCTTGGCTGCTCCTAAAGTTTCTATCTTATGACAGCTGAGCTCCAGAACCTACATTGTGATAACCACAGGAGCCTTTCTCATGTCTTTTGTATCCTTCATGGGTCAACGAACTGTCAACAAGGCTGAAACAGAACTCCCTGAAGGGTTCCAACTTCTGCTAAGAGTGTGGGTCAATAAGAAAGACCACACATTCTCTTACAGCTCCTTAATAATGCTTGACTTGTTTTACCTCCCTCTCCCCACAGGCTTCAAGTGCTCTTTGCTTATGATTGTGGCATCCCAGCAGAGTGCACAGTTCACAAAAATCAAGTAACTGGTGATGCAGGTGAACCAATAAAAAAAATTTCATAAACATGCAAACTAGATGAACATCCCAAACAACCAGGAAAGGAATCAGCAGGATCTTAAATTTGTCAATATTTAGAGAGGAAGGATAGCCTTATGGTTTAGACAGTGGCCTGAAACCTCACGATAACTGGGTTTAAGTCATCAATTGTAAGACCAGAAGGGACCATCACGATCATCTAATCTGACCTCCTATGTAACAAAGGCCAACAAATTTCACCCAGTAATTCCCAGCTGGGCTACAGACTTCCTAGGTGACTTCTGGTATGTCACAACAGCTGTGTACATTTTAAAATCTATTTGTAAAGGGGGATGTTACTTCCTTTGCCTGTCTTGTCTATTCTTTAAAGGCAGTGATTGTCTCTTCCTAAGTGTATAGTGCCTAGCACAATAGACCCCATCGTGGTTGGGCCTCTAGCAACTACTGGAATCTTAACAATAATTTAAGAGTTCTTTGCAGTCATAGTTGAGGTGTATTAGCTAAATATGTGCTGTATTTTTAAAGTTTTAAAGTACAACTCATTCAAATCATTTTTCATTTCAACCCACCATGTGGACAAAATCTGACCTCGCACATATGACCAAGCAATAGTATTAGAGATCTTGCCAGGGTTTCAGTACAGTGATACGTTTCAGAGTAGCAGCCGTGTTAGTCCGTATCCGCAAAAAGAACAGGAGTAGTTGTGGCACCTTAGAGACTAAAATTTATTTGAGCATAAGTTTAGCTTAGCTTATGCTCAAATAAATTTGTTAGTCTCTAAGGTGCCACAAGTACTCCTGTTCTTAGTACAATGATAGCATTTTAAGTTGTTCACACATTTCACATTGTAGGCATTTAGGGCTCATTTCTGAATTCTCTAATCCCTACTCAGGTAACATTTCTCCCCTCTACAAAACAAACAAACAAAAAAAACAACAACCTTGCCCTCCCTATCTCCTTCCTCCCATGGTCTCCTTTTCTTAGTCCTCATCCTCTCCTTCTCTTCCTAGGCTCCCACTTTCTTCTTCAGTTTTTTTTCCCTCCCTTCCCCCTGTCCAGAGCCTCCATCTCTTATGTGCTTTCCTTACAAGGTAGGAGGGATTTGATAGCTCTGTAGCAGTTCTCACACCAACTGGCCCAGCCAGCTGCTTCCTCTATTTTCCACACCTAATTTCTGTGTAACATTACTGTGCAGGTTGGAGGAGCAAAAGTCAGCAGTGCAGAGGAGGCACCACACTGCACAGAAGAGGAAATGTTCACACTTCATATTAAGGGAATACATTTATAAATAATATATAAAGGGTTAATAAATGTAATAAGCATGTTATAGACATGAGTAATAGGTTATCAGCACATTAGTAGCAAGTGTCATAGATGGTTTTAAGCCCTGTTTAAAAGGCATTGTGAGAAGGCTTCCATATAAAGAGAGGCTCAAAGAAGATTGGAAGGATTAGAGTGAGGAGATATTAATTATTTTATAGACCTGTTATAAAGAAGGCTACTCTGGCACTCCTATTTTCTGTATTCAATTTAAGAGCACCACATTTAAAATGTATCAAAGGAAATACTTTTCTACCCATTGTAAACTGGCTTGTGGAATATGCTGCCACAGGATGTTATAAGGACTATTACGTTTCTAGAAAAGATTGCATACATAAATAGATAATAGTATCTACATTACACTTGTTATGCTATAATTTTCAATCCTCATGCTTTGAGGCAGAAGCTGATCACTTGCTAGGTCAGGAAGAAATTCCTCCTCATGGTAGAGAATTGCTCCATTAAGTGCATTTTGGTGGGGGACAGAAGAAGGAGGTTACACAATCCGCTGAAGTATGTTGCATTGGCCATTGTCAGAGAGAAGATACCTAGTCTGTTGCACTTCAGCATTTCTTATGTTCTTATAGCCTTTAATTTTTTCTCATTTCACAGTGGAGTAAATCTTGAAAGTATATGAGTATAGTGGAGTACATGAAAAGATCTCTAAGCCCTTACATTCATTATTAAAAACTTCTAATTTCTTGCAGGTATTAAATAAACAAACAAACTATATCATTTTAAGTCAATACACAACTCCTAAAATAGCCCCATTACAACAAAGGTGCATGAGTCTTAAATAATCGAGCAGCTGTTTCGATACTTCTATTTAAAAACCTGCTCAAAATTCTAATACAAAATATGTAATTTATTACATATAATCAAAGATTTTTACATTCTCCACATGATTACAGTTTCTTGTTAAGACTGACCTGCTTCTGGGTGTTCTACTGCAGCTTCTGGAGTCCAGGGTCCAGCTTTTACATAACCTCTCTTTTCAAGAGCTATCACAAATCCTCCATCTCCAATCACAATTTCTCCAGCATCTAGACGTTCTAGAATACCCTGAATAATAAGGGAGGAAAGGTTGATGGACTGTAGCTATGTAGTTTTGTAGGCTACACACTTTTCAAGATAGGGACTTTCTCATCCTTTGTTTTTTGGAAACAGCCAAGCATAATTTGGGGGCTACTGCAATCAGAACAACAACAGCAGCAGCAGCAATAACAATAGGTTATTGTTTCTTTAAAGCATCTTTCAGGCTTAAACAATGGCAGAAGGTTAGTTTTCAAAGAATGTAGGATTTTATTATAATAAGCATACATATAGTACCTAGGCTCCCGACTATGATCACAATTTTATTAAAAATTGAAAAATGCACTAGTTCCAAAAAAAAAAAAAAAAAAATCACATGTCAAGGGCCCAGTCATGCTCCCATGAAAATAAATGGTTAAAATCCCACCCATTATGGGCCCTATGTGCTCCCAAAATAATTGTTAACTATTGGAAGAGAAACACTAGTGTCCTACTTTTTTAGTAACTCATTTACTCTTCAGCTGAGATAAAGGTCACTGAGGCAATGCTGCAACACAAGTAGCTTGTGGTACAAAATGACACAACGAAGGTATCATGCCACAGCTAAAAAAGCATGCATGTAACATTTTACTGACACACATATCTGACATCTTAAAATGCTGCAATCTCATTTTAGCTTTCTGTGCAAGCTGTTTTCACTTGGTTGGATTTGCTCACACCCATTTGTAAAAATCAAAGAGAACCTTGCCCATTTTGCACAGCCCAGAAGTTTAAAAAGATGCCAGGTTACAAAAAATATTCAGCTTTTTCATGTTTTGCCCCATTTCTTGTCTTGAATTGTAAGCTAGTATAAAGAAAATGTGAATAGTTTTCTTTTATAATATGAATACTGGCGCAAGATAATATTGCATTGGGTTATATCTGAAAATATTAGATGTCTCGTATTCCTCTCATTGGTTTATGTACCCAAAGACTTCTAATAAGTGGACCACAATTGCATAATATCCCTACATAATAGATTCCACATTTGGATCTCATATTTGTTTGCATTTTATTGGGAAAAAAAAATCAGATGTAGCCAGACATTTCACAATGACTACACAGTCATGGGCCTTGGAGTTCAAAGTTTTTACAATTAAGGCTAGCCACATTACCCTCCATATCTACCCTTTTCAGATGGCATAACACAGTTTATTATTTTATGCAGTAGTATCTGAGCTCTGGAGGAAAATGAAAGCTTTGTGCATATACAGTTGTATGTGGTTTGAAAGCCCCTGGTAGAAGACTTTTTCCACTTTTTAGTCTCCATCCATTGATAGATTTTTCTCTTTGAGATGTGTAAAGTAAAACCTCTGTAATTAGCACTTCACTAATCCACACACCTTGTAGATTGCATATATAAAGAAGATGACCAGTTATTTCTCAGCACAGCTTTGACAGAGATCTGAGTAAGCTCTCACATTAACTTTGTTCTAAAAATTATACTGTAAGAACATTGACTTACATACTATTAGCATAAATATTTCAGACTAAAATGACATTTTCTAAATAAATGAACAAAGTAAATTTCATAATGCAGCGTCCCTGCTATTTAAAAAAACAACAACGATTTGCTTATGCACTGTGAGCCCGATACTGCTCCAATTAAAATCAACAATGGAAGTTTTGACATTGATTTCAACGTGAGTAGGAACAGGCCTCAACTTGCAAAATTCAGCAACTCAGAAGGCATTTCCCAGTCATTAATGTGTATTTGTGTTGTAACTATGAAAGTTCAGAGCCTTTGTTAAGATTATTGTTTGCAAATGAATAACTGAGTGCCTAAAATGGGCCTGGCCAAGCAATCTGGAATAAATCTGCCACGTAGAACAGGAGTGAGCAAACTTTTTGGCCTGAGGGCCACACCTTGGTATGGAAATTGTATGAAGGGCCAGCTGGGGCAGGGGATTGGGGTGCACGGGGGGCATGGGGACACACAGAGGAGATGAGGGCTTCAGCTGGGGGTGCAGACTTTGGGTGGGGCTAGGGATGTGGGGTTTGGAGTGCAGGAGGGTGCTCCAGGCGGGGAATCAAAGGATTTGGAGGGTGGTCAGGGCTGGGACAGGGGGTTGTGGCATGGGGGGGGGTTGAGGGGACGGCTCAGGGGTGCAGGATCCAGGCGGCACTTACCTGAAGCAGCTCCTGGAAACAGCAGCCTGCCTCCCCTCCAGAGGCAGTGCCACACTGCTCTGCATGCTGCCCCGTCCGCAGGCAGCGCCCCTGCAGCTCTCATTGGCCACAGTTCCTGGCCAATGGGATCTGCAGAGCCGGCACTGGGGGCAGGGGCAGCGTGCGAAACTCCCTGGCTGCTCCTGCTGCCAGGAGCCGCGCGGAGCTGCTGCACGCACAAAGTGGAGCAAGGCAAACCCCTGACCTCGTTCTCCGGCTGGAGCACCGGAGCAGGGAAAGCTCCCAACCCTGCTCCCCGGCAGGAGCTCGAGGGCCAGATTAAAAGGTCAGATGGGCCAGATGCGGCCCCATGGGCCGTAGTTTTCCCACTCCTGATGTAGAAGATCATAATCTGGGTCTCTGTTTCCATGGTCTGCCAAGGAAGCTTTCACCGGGGGAGTTCACTTCAAAAGTTTAATGAAGATGGAGCGGACTGAAACTTTAAAGGGGAGGAAACATTTCAGATCACCTCATGCATTCGTTACAAGCTACTACAAAGTACCGAATACATGTTAATATGAAATATGGACACTATGTTTTAATGTGCTCAGTTAAATCAAATCATACTCTTTAATGCGAACTTGTTGGCCATTATTCTGTTAAAAATTAATTCAAGGCAGTTCTTCCTGAGAATCCTTACTAATTGCAAAAGGTAAAAAATAAACCCAAAAAACATAACACACCACATTTTTATTTAAAAAAAAAAAATCTTTTTCCAATCCCTTTGCTGGATGAAAGCCCCACAAAATCATCATGGAAAACTAACTAAGGCTTTTTAAATTTAGTCTACCTACAATTTCCTACCCAGGCTACCGTGAGTGAAGTTGCACCAGTTGGTGCTAGCAATGATAGGAAATTTTAGGGATAATTGGTAGCGTAGCTACAGTTTAAATTTACTGGCTATTAAGGGGAACAGTAAAAGTGCCTGTATATATAGTGTTTTATATAAATCAAAATTGAAAAAAAAATTCCCTCTGATCCCTTTCATTTATAGTAATCTTAAGTGTTACTTAGAATAGTTAAAACATTTTCACACAAGTGCAATATTCCATGAACATGGTGTAATTATATGGTTTCACAGACCCTTTCATGAAGAGATATCTGGTATATGCTATTGCTCTGAAACCATCAAATTTTGTTTAGATATTGCTCAAATGTTTGGTCAATGGATTGTAACCTGTTACCATCAATGTAAGTATATTTCTTCAACTAACTGACTGTACAAAGGCTCTCATTTATCTGTGTACCCTCACAAAAACGATTGTCATATAAATATATGGAGGAGTAACTTTAATCTTGTACAGTTGCAAGGAAGCTAGGGATAGAAATCCTATCTGATTAAGAATTGTGCATATGGTATTTTAATAACAACTTAATATACAGCACTCCTAGAATTTTAAAGAATAATGAATACTGTTCATCCAGCATATCAAATAATATAAAACAACAAATTATTCAAATTTATTCCTGGTAAGAACTCAGAGGTGGCTTCGTTTCCTCACTCATTTAATCAAGCCATTACATTCTAAATATGAATGTTGCAGCATAAAGTTATATAAGAGAATAATTTAATAGCTCAATGGATACATTTATGATCATGGGATTATATTTTGCTTCTGTTAACTCTTCAACTTTTCACTGTAGCTACCTATTTGTAGAAATGTTTATATATTTACCTTTTGATTTAAAAACAACAATCAGAGGGTTGTAAAAGTTTTTAAAAAGGTAAAGTCCTAGGCCAGTAGTTTTCAACCTGTGGTCCACGGACCCCTGGGGGTCTGCAGACTAAGTCTAAGATTTCCAAAGGGGTGCAACCCACATTTGAAATTTTGTAGAGGTCTGCAAATGAAAAAATGTTGAAGACCACTGTCCTAGGAAAGAGCAGGACTGCAAATTCTGTTACTAAATGTGACAATGCCTATTGAACCTGCCAACTATAGAAACTGCTTCTCAGCCTCAAATTGTCTGAAATCAGCTGATGCACCTGATGAAGTGGATTTAGCCCAGGAAAGCTTATGATCAAAAAAATTTGTTAATCTCTAAATTGCCACAAGTACTCCTCTTTGTTTTTGCTGATACAGACTAACAAGGCAACCCCTCTGAAACCTGCCTGAAATCAGGCGCTCTCCTCCCATGCCCTGGGAGGAAAGGGTCTGTGCTTGGAAGGAGGTGGCAATATCAGAGAGATGACTGATAGTGCTATTCTCAGAGCAGGATTTTGCCCCACTCAATTTGCATGATGGTTCTATTTCCCACCCCCTCCTTCGGCCATGCACTAGCAGCAGCAGCCCCGAATGGGAGCAGGGGGCGGTGCCCGCCCATGGTAGCTCAGCGAAGTGATCCTGTTTGTTCCAACACAGCTGTGCCTCCAGACTTTGCAAGTGAGGGGCTCAAACCCTTAGCGGGAGCTTTGGTGGCCGCTTCTCCTCGGGGCACATCACGGGACAGCTGGAGCAGCCACACGCAGCTATCCCCAAGAGAGCTGCCGGGCCGACCGCTCCAGTCCCCCCAGCGGCTACAGGGAGCCTGCAAGTGGGACGGACTGGGGACTTCCTGCGCCCCCAGCGGCTCCTAGACAGGCGCGAGTCCCCGGGCATTTACCTTCTTCTTGGCGTGCTGGGGGCTCGCTCCGACAGGCGGCGACTGCATTTTTCCGGGGCGTTAGCAGCGCTGTCTTTGCACCCAGGCACTTACTGCCGGCGGCTGGCGCTTCCCCCGGCGGCGCAGCGAGACTCGGCGTACACAGCCCAGCCTAGCCCACCCGCCCCTTTATAGCCCCGGAGGAGAGGCGGGATGCGGGGTGGGTCCTGGGTGGCCGGGTCTGCCCCCAACTCCCATTACGGAACAGGCAACACCCTCCCTCCCTGTGACCCTGGCCCCGCTGCGGGGCTGCCAGTCCTGTGTGAGCCCCGCGCAGCTCTGCCCGGGCGCACGGCGCTTTGGCCTCTTGCCCACTCCGACGTGATGTAACTTCACATTCGCTGACAGGGAAGGCAGCAAGACCTTGTTCGCTGGGGGGTGGCTCTGTGTCCCCGCTCCCCCCGCAGGGCAGCCCTGACCCCCCCGCGGGCGGGGCGGGGCGGGCCCGGCTCCCTCCGCTAAGGGGATTGGCCACTGGGGGTCCCGAGGGAGGCAGTTTTCCCACCCTGCCGAGTGAGCCGAGCCAGCCCAGCCCAGCCCAGCGCCTGCGAGGGTCCGGCACGCGCCATGCTGCGGGGAGCCCTGAGGCTGCTCCCACCCCAGCTGCGAGGCGGAGAGCTCGCCTTACTGCGCCGGGCGCGCCCCCTTAGCAGCGGCTCCGGCACTGCGGGGCGGTGAGTTCTGCCTGCGGGCTAGAGCCTGCGCTGGGGGTGGTTCGCGACGCGCGCTCTCATCGCGTTTTTCTGGAGGGAAAATGTTGGTGCGAATGGAAGTACTTCGCTAGGCGACGGCTTCCCTGTGCACAGGCTCCACTTCCCCCAGCAGAGGTTGTATGACTCCGAGTGACAGAGGTGAGGACGGGCGAGCTGACCTAATATAGGTCTCCCCTTTTCCTAAATTCTGCCATAGCCATTTCCTTCATCGTTTTAACAGCTGAATAACAAAGTAAGTGCTGCGATTCACAGAAAAGAGGCACCCCCGAATCATACCAATCTGCTGGGTTTGACAGCGACGAAGGCTTTAAAATACTAGTGTAAGGCGTCAGACAGTTTTGGCTTCATTACAAGTGAAGAGGGAAATCCATATTAGCAGCTGCTGCTAAAATTAAACATATTCATAGCGGCTCTGCATAACCCCAAAGTCTTAAAGGAGCTAGCCAAGGAGCTCTCTGAACCACTTACTGTTAACTTTTAACAAATCTTAGAAACCTAGGGAAAGTGGAAGAGGATTGGTGGAATGCCAGGGCATTTCCAATATTTAAAAAGGGAACCACAGACCATATTAGCTTGAGATCAATCGTTGGCAAAATAATGGACTGGTTAATCTGGGACTCTATCAAAGAATTAGAAGCTAAAAATATAATTAATGCCATTTTAGCATGTTTTTTATGGAAGGTATGTCTTGTCAAGCGTTACCTTTTTAAAAAGAACAGGATTACAGCAACTATGTTGATTTAGTGTACCTGGATTTCTCTGTGGCATTTGATTTAGTACCAAATGACATTCTGATTTTTAAAACTGCATTACATGGCGCCATCAGGGCATACCTTAGATGGATAAAAATGGTCTCACTAACAGATCCCAAAATCTACTTAATGGAGAGATATTTCTAGAGGGGTCCACCAGGAATTGCTTCTTGATCCAACATTATTGAATATTTTTATCAGTGATTTAGAGTAGACCATGATATAAATAGTAATCTTTGCTGCTAAAGTTTGCAGATGACACAAAAATTGGTGGGGTAATAAATAACAAGGAGGACAGGTTACTGTTACAGAGTGCTTTGAATTGCTTGGTTTAGGTGGTCACAATCCAGCAAAATGGATTTAACAAAGCTGAATTAAAGATAATATATTAGGAAACAAAGAATTCAGGCTATACCTACAGGATGGGATACACCTCTACCCTGATATAACGCTGTCCTCGGGAGCCAAAAAATCGTACCACGTTATAAGCGCAACTGCGTTATATTGAACTTGCTTTGATCCGCCGGAGTGCGCAGCCCCGCCCCCCTGGAGCACTGCTTTACCCTGTTATATCTGAACTTGTGTTATATCGGGTCGCGTTATATTGGGGTAGAGGTGTACTTGGTTTTGGAAAACAGTGACTCAGAACAGGATTTAGGGGTCATCATGGGTAACCGCGTCAACATGAGCTCTCATTTCAAGGCTGTGGCAAAAGGGCTAATGCAATCCTAGGATTTATAAAAAGGTGACTATCAGGTAGAAGTAGGGAAGTGATTTTGCTTTTGTTCACAGCTTTGGTAACGCTGCTACTAATAGTAATACTGTGCCCAGTATTAATGTCTGCATTTCAAGAAAGATGTAGAAATACAGAAGAAAGTTCAAAGGAGGGCCACAGAAATGATCCAGGAGCTGGGGTTTTTGTTTTGGTTTGGTTTTTTTTGCCTTCCTCTGAAACATCAGAGGGTGACCACTGTTGTAGATGGGGCACTGGACAGGGCGAACCAGTGTCATACGGACATAGAGTGTGAGGCCAGAAGGGATCATCAGATCATCTAGTGTTTTTTTTTTTTTAAGTGGGCAGGCTCACCCGCCCACTGCTAAAGGCCCCTCCCCCAGCCTAGCGGGAGGGACCACTGGACCCAGAAACCAAATGATTGCTTGGGACAACTAATGAAAAAACAGGGAGTGAGGTGACGGTTAAAGGTTCAAAATCAGGGAACCGGATGGGGACACCGAGCAGAGAACCCCGGACAGCACCCACTGCTCCTCAAAGGTGGCAAGGGAGCCAGCAGACGCTGCCCAGTGGAACTCTGCCCGGAGACGTGAGACTAGGGAGGTACGGAAGTAGGCCCCACAGTTGCAGAGCACCCCCTCGTCCAACATCCTCTCCCTGGTATTATAGATGGTGAGTTTGGCCAGGGCCAGGAAGAGGTTGACGAGGAGGTCTCGCGACGTAGTGGGGCCACGGATAGGGTGTGCATAAATGAACAGGTGTGGGGAAAAGTGCAGCCAGAACCTCAACAAGAGGTTCTGGAGGAGCCGGAACAGGGGCTGCAACCTGGTGCACTCGAGGTAAGCGTGCGCCAGGGTCTCCCTCACGCCGCAGAATGGGCAGGCCTCAGGAATAGGGGTGAACCGCGCCAGGTACACGCCCGTGCTCACGGCTCCGTGGAGGAGCCGCCAACCAATGTCCCCGGCGGGCCTTGGAACTAAGGTGGAATAAAGACTGGCCCACCGGGGCTCCTCACCCTCCACAGGTGTTAGATAGTCCCGCCATTTGGTGTCGGGGTGGGACACGAGGGTGAGGAGATACAACGTGTGGAGCACGAGCGTGTACAGGTGGTCCCTGGGCGCGGTTCGAAACCGGACCGGCTGCAGAGCGTGCAGCCGGCTCGGATTATGGGAGCGGGGGAGCCGGGGGGGCTCTAGTGTTATGGGGGCTCTACCATCTAGTGTTATGAGATGGTATAGAGCAGTGGTGGGAAACCTGCAGCCCCCATGCTGCCTATCAGGGTAATCCATTGGCGGGCCGTGAGACACTTTGTTTACATTGACCGCCGGCAGACACAGCCGCCCGCAGCTCCCAGTGCCGCGGTTTGCCATTCCCAGCCAATGGGAGCTGTGGGAAGTGGCACAGGCCGCACGGACTTGCTGGCTGCCGCTTCCCACAACTCCCATTGGCTGGGAACGGCGAATCGTGGCCACTGGGAGCTGCAGGTGGCCGTGCCTGCGGACGATCAATGTAAACAAACTATCTTGCAGCCCACCAATGGATTACCCTGACAGGCCGCGTGCGGGCCGCAGGTTGCCCACCACTGGTATAGAGGGTCTGCTGCCTTAGATGCCTAGCTGGTGGTTTTGCTCAAATGCTCAGGGTCTTACTGATCACCAAATCTGGGTTCAGGAAGAATTTTTTCCCCAGTTCAGATTGGCAGGGACCTTGGGGTTCTTTCACCTTTCTCTGCATCATAGAGCATGGATTACCAGCTGGTATCATCTGGCATATCCAACCTAATCAGTTCCCTGCCATTGCAGGGACATTGGTAACACCTCGGTCTCTTCTGTTCTCTCTGCCTGTGTCATACAACTGTTTAATCTCCTGAAGACTGCAATGTTTAGTCTAACCCAATTTACTGGGCTCAACACAGGGGTGACTGGATCAAATTTAATGGCCTGTGAGATACAGGAGGCCAGACTAGATAAAGGTAAATTTTTAAAGGTAACTTTTAACTACTAGCTTAGATGAGAAGATAAAAGATGAATTTTGTATCCTGTTTGTGACTTTCTTTTTCCAGGGAAGAAAAGCCATCTTCTTTCTTGGGAACTAAATGGAAAGATACAGCAGAGATAGTGATTATTGGAGGTGGTTGCATTGGTGTAAGTCTTGCTTACCACCTGGCCAAGGCTGGCATGAAGGATGTCATTCTGCTTGAAAAATCTGAACTGACGGCTGGATCTACTTGGCATGCAGTAAGAAAAATCTTGTTAATCGCTAAGATCTCAAATACGAAAAGAGATTTCAGATGACTTGTAAAATCTGACAGTAGAGCAAAGATTTTATTTCCCCCACCTCATGGCCTTCCAGAAAATCAGTTTCTCTATTATTTATCTAGTTACAAAGGATAACACTAGGTTCTGTTCCTAGATCTATGATAGACTCACTATCTGACCTTTGAAGAGTCACTTACGGTATATCTAGACTGCAGTCACTGGCTGTGATTGCAGTTTGAGCCAAGACACTTGAGCTACTTTTAATCTAGCTAGATAGGGTCACCCACAACAGTGCAGCTCTGGCAGCGTGAGTTCTGTGTGGACTAGCCCCACAAGAAATAACCCAGGGTTCTGGGAAGATTTTTACAGCCTGAGCTGAAGCTTGTGCTACCCTGGCTTTACTGTTCTGGCTCCCAAGATAGCTAGATTAAAGCTTTCTTGAGTATGTTGACTGTGATTACATCCTGTGATTGCAGTATAGACATACCCTTAAACTACCCATGCTCCCCATCTGTAAAGTAAGATAAATGTTGGTAACGTGTTTTAAATCCAGGAGATACCCACACCTTGAACTGCATGCAGTTCTGGTTGCCTCATTTCAAAAACAATATATATGACTTGGAAAAGTACAGAGAAGGAGAACAAAAAATATTGGGGTATGGA